GGCTCCAGGGATCGCTGGGAAGCCCGCTCGCACGGACAACTGACTTCCATGTGAGGCTGTAGTCATGCTGGTCGCCTGTGGAGATCTAATATAAACATCTGTCTTAGTGAGACTCAATCTCAGTGCAGCGTTTGATACTGGACCACAACATCCTTTTTGATTGACAAATGAACTTCAGGCACAGTCCGTAGTTGGTTCCAGTCATACCTCGCAGACAGGAAGTATGTTGTTTCCATTGGTGAACACAAATCAAAGTAAATCCCCTGACATGTGGGGTCCCTCAAGGCTCGATAATTAGACCACTGCTTTTCAATCTCTACATGCTCCCACTGGGCCAGCTCATAAACAATAACAACATTGCTTATCATAGTTATGCAGATGACACCCACATCTACCTAGCTCTATCACCTAATGAATCTGGTCTCCTAGACTCACTCTGTAGGTGCCTAGAGCACGTTAATGACTGGATGCAATCAAGTTTCCTTCAGTTAAACAAAGACAAGACTGAAGTTATTGTCTTTGGAAATCAGAAGGATAGGATGGAAGTTATATCTCAACTTAGCTCCAAAGGAATAACGACAAGGACAGGTTAGAAATCTTGGTGTTACCACTGATTCAGACCTGAGCTTCACTGGTTACATTGAAGCTATAACTAGATCAGCGTTTTATCATCTCCATCAATTAGCAAGAGTCAGAGGTTTCATGTCAAAACAAGGCCTAGAGAAATGAATTCATGTGTTCATCTCCAGCAAGCTGGACTATTGCAATGATCTTCTAACTGGTCTCCCCAGAACTGCTGTAAAACAACCGCAGCTTATCCAGATGTCTGCTGCTAGAGTCTTCACTAGAACCTGGAGAACCGAGCCCATCACCCCTGTAGCGTTATGAAGTTTATAATGGTCTGCCCTTAACAGCTGCCCCTTCACACAATACCATCGCCAAGGTCGGACGCTTGGTTCAGTATGTTTACATTCCAGGAGAAGAGACAGAAGAACAGAAGAAGAACGCTTGTCATTGATTAATCAAAGTACTTTATTTGTGATAAGCTAATCAAAGCATTTGTTGATCATTAATAATCAGGTGAATGATCTGTGAAATAAAGATGTCATGAGTTATGTGTTTAAATGAATAAACAGGGCTGCCCAGACACACTGATATGCATTACCATGGAAACGCATGACACATTGTTTTCAACCAATCAGAACTTTCGTCTGTCGTAGACAGAATCTGGTTTGTTTATGAAAGTAGTCCAATCCGGTTTACTAAGATTCTTAAACAACTGGGAGATATAAAAAGAAGGCAACGCCATTTTAAGTTCAGTTCCACGTTAAGTTCCACGTTGAGCAGTTACATGTTAAACTCAGCTCCAGGACATCCGAGTTCCTAAGGATTTCCATCGTCATCATTAAGAAGTTCAGACTGGCCATTTGTACTTCCTACTTTGAGCGGAAATCTGTCAAGCTGGAGATTTTCTGTTGTTTGTACCAACGAGACAACGCTCTTTCAAAATAAGAGTGAACTTGCTGACGCCTGCCAACCACTAACGGAGTTATCCTCAGACGGAAGTTGTGTGCTGTGACCGCTGTTTCAACCAGCTCCAGTACAACCGAGGTCTTGGAACCTGGCAATTCCTGATCTACACGGGAGACTCCATCTAAGGTGCGGCAATATGGCGGCTCATGTCATCAGCTTCTGAAGCCTCGTGGTAGCCTAGTCATAACAAACCAGACTCGCTACGTCAGCCTAGAGATCTGAACAAAACACACACACACACACCAACACGAAACATCTAAATCCATATGCATTCATCATTGAGATAGTCCTGGTAGATTGTAAGAATTTATAATTATAGAAATTAAAGATTCTTAAACGATCCCAACTCTCTCTCTTTCTTGTCTCTCAGTCAATACAAAGTGTTTAAGTAAACTCCCTGATGATAAAAACAGCCTCTTCTGATTGATTACTTAGATTGTATAAATATACAAAATCAGGTAATTAAATTATCTAATTACAGTATATAAACATCCAACTTCAAATCACAACACCCCTGTTCTTACATCATGGTTACCCAGTAAACTACAGAATAAACTTCAAAGTGCTTCTACTAGTTTATAAACTTCTCAATGGCATGGGACCAAAGTACATGTTGGATCTCCTTCCTGTATCTACACCCAGCAGATCCTGAGGAAAAAGTCAGGTCAGTCGGGTCAGAACCAAACAGGTTTTAGCTACTACGCTGCACAGATGGAATCAGCTTCCTCATGACCTCAAACCCAACTTTAGAGACTTTGAAATCCAAATTAAAAACCTCCATGTATTCATCAAACTTTGAATTGTTTGTTATGCTGCACTTTCTGCACTGTAACGGCGACCCTTTTGACTATGCCTTTAATCTGTTAAATCAGAAATTATAATCTGCATTTCTTTGTTTGATTTACTGTGTTTGCCGTTGTTGCTTCTGTAAAGCACTTTGAATTGCCTTTGTATTTAAATAGTGCTATACAAATAAAGCTGCCTTGCCTTGCCTAATATGTACTGGGACTGTTAAACTACAAGTGGAGCCGGACCAATGCGACCGTGAGCCCTGGCCTTACGGATCAGCTCATTCTCCATGGTCGGAGATCAGCGGGACATAGCTACATGCTAACCTGAGTTTATCCTGCCGTTTTAGCAAGAAAAACACGATAGAGCGACTCCAATATAAAGGCAAGCTGACCAAGGATAAAGGTAAGCTGACCAAGGATATTGTGTATCGCTGGTCCATTGCGGTGAAAGATCTGTGAGTCCGCCATTGTCGACGCACGCGGCTCTGGGAGCGTTGACTCAGCTAACGACTCCGTGTCATGCTTCTGACCAGAGACGAGAGTGTCGACAATGGCGGATTCGCGGATCTTTCACTGTGGTGGGCCAACGAAGCCCGATAGCCTCCGCTGTCCTCAGTCAGATAACCAGCAGCAACACCAACACGTTACGTTTCAACCGATTTCAACCCATCAAGACCAAGCAGTGTTATGGTAAATGCATAGAATTTTCCCCGATTCAACCAGCAAACTATTAGCGAGAAAAATGCTATTGAGCGACTCAAAAGTAACGTCAACTAAAAGAGCTGTGGTTAGGGTTGTAACCGGTATAGCGGTAAACCCCGGTAAAAAAGTTGACAATAAAAATAACCGTCCAGTTTTTAAAAAACTAAATTATCTCGGTGGGTTTACCGTGGCCGCGGTTTAGGCGCGGTGACCCTTACCAGCCACCGTCGCTTCTGCTGAAGTTCCCGCGCACGCACACGCACTTTTTAGTTTGCAACCAAAGCTTTGAAGCTGAAATAATGTCCGAAGGAGGAGACGGCATCGCCCAGGACATCCATCAGCCCTCAAAGAAGACTAAATCGGAAGTATGGGCATATTTTGGATTTCTGAAAAATGCTGAGGGACAGTTAATAGAAGACGGCTATCCCGTTTGCAGAACGTGCAGGAAACAAGTGTCTGCAAAAGGCAGCAACACTTCGAATCTAATGGCACATCTGCGTGACGATCACCCACGTCTCTACAGCCAGTGCAAGGTAAGTTAACATTAGCATTTTAGCTTAAATGCATGACGTGAGGACTTTTGGTTGAGGGAGAATGCAACGAGTCACTATATACTGCAGCCGCAGCGTCCTCTGCCAGCATTTAAACCGTGTCACGGACACCCTGTTGCTGGATGAAGCATCTTATTTGTTGATGATGAAGAGAAATATACAATTAGTTCCTTGTCATTGATTTGTTTACTTATTCAATGCCATTTATACTTGAACATTTGGATTTGATTACATAGTGTAGTAGTTATTTTAGTCATTTGTTTAAAGTGGCTATTTATTTTAAATACATATTTTTTTAAGGTTGACTTGTACAGCGCTCAAGTCAAGTGTGGACTGGAGTTTTAGATTTTCATTTTGATATGAAGAAAACAAGTATATGAGAAAACAAGTGGTGTTTCTTTGATTTGTTTACATATTGTTTATGTTTTGAATGTTTGGATTTGTATAATTTAAACCTGCACTGACTACTGTAACACGTTCCAGAAAAAGAAGCTATTTGTTCCTTTACTTGTGAAAAGTTGCATTTTTGCAAAGGCTTTGTGTTATTTTAGGTTTAATAAACACTGTTAAACCTTTTCAAACCTATTTCAGTTTGTGTAGAACAGGACTATCAATGCTTTCTGAACATATGCAACACCGTTTAAAAAATACCGCGATAATACCGAAAAACGTGATAATTTTGGTCACAATAACCGTGAGGTTAAATTTTCATACCGTGACAACCCTAGCTGTGGTGTTTCTCTGATCTCCCTCAGAGATCCACCAGTGACCAGCATGACTACAGCCTCACATCGGAGCCGGTCGGCATGTCGGCTGCCCCGGGAAACGGGAACATCCAGCCGCCTGCTCTAGCAACTCGTCTCGGACAGGAGACAGAAGACGGGCATCCGCTCAGAAATATAATTCTACTTCCTGATAAAAAGAAGCAGAAACTGCTTGGATGACCTGTTAGTGCAGTCAATAACCACAGCTTGCCCTCTTTCTCCAAACAATTCCGTGATTAACATCCAAACACGAACAAACAGACAAAACAGAAGTTCAGAGAGTCGAAATGGCCGAACATCTAGTAACACGAGACTGTGGCCTTTCCCTGGAGCTAGCTCTGAAGTCACGTGGCCCTGATGCTCAGTAATTATTCAGAATTTTAAGCATTTAATTCCACTTAAACAGAAGAGTCCACCCCCCTCAGAGTTGTCATGGATGTAAACTAGATCTATTAAACCTAGAACAGGGTTTAGAACCAGGCTGTAAACATGTTTATTCCTGCTGTGAAGTTGGCTTTTTTAACATGATTTGCTCACTTCTGCTGCCAGACCCTAGTGGATGAGGCTGGAACTGCAATTTTTGCCACACCTTCTTTGCTTCAAGAAATGCAGACCATAATGGCGCCTTGGTCAGAACCAGGATCAGATTCAGAACTTACGAGTGTTGCTGGGCTGGGAGTCCATGGGAATCATCATTTTGCTTCGTGTTCCTCTCCTGGCACCAAGGGAGCGGTCCAAGGTGGAGATCCCGCTGGATGCCTCGTCAGCATCGGCACCTGAAACGTCACAACCCTCAGACGCGTTCTCAAAACTGTTCGGTCCGACAAAAGGAATCTAAACTCCAATGCACCGTGTTTGCTTAACATCTTTATGTTTACGTTCAACAATGGATCCAGATCCATCAAAACGTTGTGATTTTAAAAAGAAAGACTATTATGAAGGAAAAAGGTCAGATCCTCCCAGTCAGAGGAGGAACCTGAGGAGAAACAAACTCCACGGTTCAGAACTGGCTGGTACCTGAGTGGCTGCTCTTGCTGCCCATCTGGCTCTCTGATTGGCTGTGAGCCACCTGGGGGAGGTCCTGGCAGGACTGAATGGGTGAGTCGTGTCCAGACGGAGCAACGCTCGGAGCCTTCTCCATGTTCTTCATCTCCATCTCCTCGTGGTGGATCCAGAGGTCCGGAGGACGCAGCTCCTTCTGGCTGCCTTTCCTTTTACTGGCGCTGTGGCTTGCTCTCTTCCTGCAGGTTCCACACAGAAACACAGAATTCCTGTTGAGTCAGACAGGAGCTGCACTTCATCCTTAACATTTGGATTTCAGGAAATTCTGCATAAATCAAAGGAATTTTAGGAGCTCCACCAGATCTGACCTCTGGTCCGATATTAGACCTGAAACGGGTTCTGATCCTGGAGATCCGGTTTGGAGAACAAATGAATAAAATATGAGTTTAAATTTTTTTTTCTGCTTATTATGATAAACGGTTACTCCATGAACAAGGACTGGTGCCCTTTGGACAACTCAAAACTGGTTCTGATCAGCAGAACAGCAGTCTGGACCTGAGACATCCTGGGATCCACCTGGAGCCAGGTGAGCATTATGTTTTAGTCTGAAGGAGCTGCAGAAGGATGTTAATAAGTGTCTCAGAGTGTGGAGACATTGGAGACTACTTAGCAACCAATTAGATTAGGTAGAGACTAGTAGGAGACCAGTTTAAGTCTAGGTAAAGACTGGTTAGAGACTAGTTAGAGACAGGTTTAAGTCTAGTTAAAGATTAGAGACTAGTAGCAGACAAGTTAAAGTCTAGTTAAAGACTAATTAGAGACTAATAGGAGACAAGTTAAAGACTAGTTGGAGACTAGTAGAAGACAAGTTTAAGTCTAGTTAAAGACTAGTTAGAGACATGTTTAAGTCTAGTTAAAGATTAGAGACTAGTAGCAGACAAGTTAAAGTCTAGTTAAAGACTAGTTAGAAACTAGTTGGAGACATGTTTAAGTCTAGTTAAAGACTAATTAGAGACTAATAGGAGACACGTTAAAGACTAGTTAGAGACTAGTAGGAGACAAGTTAAAGTCTAGTTAAAGACTAGTTAGACACTAGTGGAAGACAAGTTTAAGTCTAGTTAAAGAGTAGTTAGAGACTAGTTAGAGACAGGTTTAAGTCTAGTTAAAGACTAGAGACTTGTAGCAGACAAGTTAAAGTCTAGTTAAAGACTAGTTAGACACTAGTGGGAGACAAGTTATAGACTAGTTAGAGACTAGTTGGAGACAAGTTTAAGTCTAGTTAAAGACTAGTTAGAGACTAGTAGGAGGCAACTTTAAGTCTAGTTAAAGACAACTTGGAAACTAGTAGGAGACAAGTTAAAGTCTAGTTGAAGACTAGTTAGAGACTAGATGGAGACAAGTTAGAGACAAGTTAAGTCTAGTTAAAGACTAGAGACTAGTAGCAGACAAGTTAAAGTCTAGTTAATGACAAGTTAGAGACTAGTTGCACACAAGTTTAAGTCTAGTTAAAGACAACTTAGAGACTAGTAGGAGACAAGTTAAAGCTTACTTAGTGACTAGTTTGAGACAAGTTAGAGTCTAGTTAAATACTAGTTGGAGACAATTTAGAGTCTAGTTAGCATCTAGTTAGAGACTAGTTGGAGATAAGTTAGAGACAAGTTAGAGACAAGTTTAAGTCTAGTTAAAGACTAGAGACTAGTAGCAGACAGGTTTAAGTCAAGTTAAAGACTACTTAGAGACTAGTTGGAGACAAGTTTAAGTCTAGGAAAAGACTAGTTAGAGTCTAGTAGGAGACGTTTAAGTCTAGTTAAAGACTAGTTGGAGACAAGTTAGAGACTAGTTAGAGATGCAAAACAGGAAGAAAATCAGCAACCTGGGCAGACGACACAGAACTAATTTGTGGTCAGAGTCTTTATTTTGGTTAAGTGGTAAATGGCTTGTATTTGATAAAGCACCTTCTAGAGTCATTCACCCATTCACACACATATTCACTCTCTGATGGTGATAAGCTACAGTAAAGCCACACACATCTCCAACAACTGTAGGAGGAACACTGCTGCTAAACGTTCTGAACCTGTATGAAGCAGTTCAATCACAGAGGGATAAATAAAACAATGTCTTACTTCCTCTGCTGGGCGGAGGAGCGGCGGGTGCAGATCAGAGCCACAATGACGACCACGACCACGGTGACGGCGCCCACAGAGACCACGATGATTACCAGGAGGTTGCTGCTCTTCTGAGGCGTGACGCTGCCGTGAGGGGGACGCATCTGACCAATGGGAGACTCTATAGGACAGACGGTGGAGAACCCGAGTTCAGAGGATTTAGTGAGAGGTTTAAAAAAAACCACATTGGATCCAGTCAGGTTAGAGCTGGAAAATCGGAATAAACATTTAAAATGAATTTAATGTTTAGCGTAATGAGAGATGGTCAGTAAAAACAATAACAAGGTGAAATTCCCCACCAGGCCCCATTCAGCACAATCCTTGTCTGTCCAGCAAAAATAAGACAAACATTATATAATATAAAACAATAAAACAAAACAAAATCATATAAAATAAAGTCAAATAAAATAATAACAATATCATATGAAAAGTACAATAAATAAAGTGAAAGAAAAGAAAATTTTATAAAACAAGGAACAATACATAAAATAAAATAATATTAAATGAAATTATGTAAAAAAAACACAACTCATTTATGAAATAAAATAAAAATTATATAAAATTAAGTTATATAAAAGTAAGGAAAAAAATATAAAATGAAACACAATAAATTAAATTAACTTATGTAAATAAATATAAAATTCTAAATTATTTAAGAAATTAAATAAATAAAAATAATAAAACACAAACACGATCACGGATACAAGCAGCTGAAAGGAGGTGGCTGGGCTCTCCCTTAGAGATAGGATGAGATGCTCGGTCATCCGGGAGGGGCTCGGAGTAGACCCGCCGCTCCTCCACATCGAGAGGAGCCAGTTGAGATGGCTCCTGGACGCCCCCGGTGAGGTTTTCTGGGCACGTCTAACTGGGAGAAGATGTAACGGGAGACCCATGAAACGCTGGAGGGACTATGTCTCTCACCTGGCCAGGGAACTCCTTGAGATTCTCCCGGAAGAGCTGGCCTAAGTGGTTGGAGAGAGGGAAGTCTGGGTCTCCCTACTTAGGCTGCTGCCCCCGCGACCCGACTCTGGCTAAGCGGAAGAGAATGGATGGATGGATGGATGGATGGATGGATGGATAGATGGATGGAATTACGCAGCTTGATCGAGTTATGCCTATTTTTGTCCCAATCCCGACAACCTTAAGGACTTTCCTGATTACCGTGTATTATCAGAAATTCCTGCCGTGTGTTAGGAGCGCTGTGGTCGCTCTGATGCACTTTGGTTCACTCCGACCATATTTCAGGGATATTAAACATGTTGGATTGTTTTAGTTGAATGTGATGTGTCACGCTGCAACGCTCTGTATGCTGGTCTGGCCCAGTGCACGGTTGCACGGCTCCAGTTTGTGCAGAACTCTGTGGCTAGGTTCCTGACAGGCACTAGATGTCGAGAGCACATTACCCCAGTGCTGGATGCTCTGCACTGGCTTCCGGTAAAATATCGAGCTCAGTTTAAAATCTTTACTCTCGTTTATAAGGCCCTCCAGGGCAGTGCCCCCTCATACATTACTGCGCTTTTGAACAGGTATACCCCATCTCGGTCTCTTCGCTCAGCCGAGCAGGAACTTCTGGTGGTCCCCCGGTCGAAATTTCGATCGAGGGGTAGTCGTGCTTTTTCTATTTTGGCTCCAACTTTGTGGAACGAATTGCCACTGAGCATTAGGCAGGCACCATCCCTTCAAGTCTTTAAGTGTCGTTTAAAGACTAATTTTTATCTGATTGCGTTTCAGCGCTAGGGTCACTTGAATTGCCCTAACATTATGGTTTTAACTATTCTTCTTTTTAAACCGGATGCTTGATTTTATTTTGTCTGACATTTGTTTGTTTTTTTATCGATTGGTCTTATTCCAATATCTCTTATCTGTAATGCTGTTTGCTTGCTATTTTACGATTTTATGTTTTTATCCTGCTTTTATGCCCATGTATTGGGAATGTTTTTCTTTTAATGATGTTGTTCAGCACCTTGGGCTTCGGATAATGTTGTAGAAGGTGCTGTACAAATAAAATTTGATTGATTGATTGACAATCACAAAGCAAGGCAGGGAAACAAGTTCGCTGCATGCTCCTCCTCCTCCGCCATGTTGGTTCACTCCTAGGTTGATGTCATAGTGGTGTGTAGTTTTCACCGAGTGGCCGCACACCACACACTGTCGGACCAAACCTGTTTATCTGGGATGTTCTACAGCTACGTGTGGATTTTCCCATGCTTCGTTTGAAAACCCTGCCCTGAGAAGCCCGCCTACCGAAGCGCTAGAAAACCTATTTTCTAGTTGTCTTTTCTTTCTTTTCGACACAGCGGTTCATCCCTTGAGTTAGGAGCATTTTTACCCCTGAATGTTTCATCAGTCTGACGTAAGCAGACTAAAACACTGAGCATGCTCTGGAACTGAACCTTCAGCCGGAGTCTGAGTGAAGTGGGAAGATAAAAGTTGGAAAAGCAGAACCGAGTGAAAGACGGAAGGTGGAGTGGACGAGACAAGGAAAGGAGAGCAGATGAATGAAAGAAAAATGAAGAAAAATGTTTGTGTGAGATGGAGAGAGGGACTTTATCTCCTTCACCTCCTCTCTCCAATAACACGTCTTTTCTAATAAAAAACACAATCCATCAGAGCTCACAGCAGCCGTTTGTGAACCCAAATCTCTCATTCCTTCTCTTCAGGTTGAACTCAATCATCTTTTCCCTCCTTGACCTTTTCCGTAATCTATTAATTTAATTTGAGAGTGAAACGTGAGCTGATGTTCCAGAAGGGTGGTTGATGTAAACCCAGCCCTGTTATGGGCAGACTGACAGACTAATTACTCTCCTCAGGCTCAGAATAGAAAGAGTTGATTAATGATGTCTAATCATAATTATCCCAGCAGTGAATGAAAACATTTAACACCTTGTTACGTTAATACACCTCACCTCCTGATCACTCACTGATTTATTGCTTCAGCAGTTCAACAGAGGCCCAGAGAGCAGAGAGATCTTCCAGAGCAGCAGCTCTGTTTCTACAAACTCACATTCCTCTAAAATGCTGCAGAAACTCGTCTAATTCGTTTAGATCGATTCCTCTGAATGTCGCCATCATGCCTCAGGTCTGAAAAGTCAGATCAGCAGCAGGTTTTATTTAAAACGGTTTCCCAACATTCCCGTCTGTTTGGAAGCAACAGAGAGGGTAAGTCTTACTGTCACAACGACCACCATCAGGACCCGTTTGGTGTCACCATCAATGTTTACTGGTGCTGTACGATACCACAAAATTTGGTATAGATCCGATACCAAGTAGATACAGCGGCCAGTATCCGATACCGATACCAATACCAATACTTTTTACTACCATTTTTTACCAATACTTTTTACCATCTAGTTTTGTGGGACTTATTAAGATAAATAAGATCAATAAAAAGTTTTATTGATTACTTAATTATTTTGTAATTTTTCCTTTAATAAATCATGTGTATGATGATAATAAAATACAGGGAACATTTTCAGGCAAATTACATTTTCATTAGGAAACTCAAAATGGTTTAAAATGGTTAACAAACTCAAGATTTTTTTCTATTTGAAATCTATAAAGCTGTGTAAAAAAATTCCAAACGGCGCTGCTTTTTCGGTCTGCCATCACGCAGCCACGACAGTGCTTTCTGCTGTTCTGTGCTTGTCTCGTGCTGGAGCACTGTTTTACTTATTTTTTTATGTGATGGCGGACTGCCTCGTTGACTGACATCCGTGGCGTTCCAATCACAGTGCTTTACTGGTTTTTTGGGCCAATCACAGTGCTCTTTTAGCGAGGTACGCGGGATGTCCCTGCGAACAAACATGGCTGCCGCTCGAAACGGTCCAATCACAGGTATCAGCCGGGTAAACTACAAATCAAGATGGCTGCCGGTCACTAGTGGTCCAATCATGGCGCTATATAGATTTCATGGGCCAATCGCAACACTAAGTAGGCGGGATGTTATTGGAAAAAAAAAAAACGTGACTAGTCGGCGGTCAGCCGATCATTTGAAACGGCTTTGGCGTCAAGTTTGGACTATTATGACTTTAGCTTTTGTTTGAGTCAAGATCAGATAGAAGTACTAAAGTTTATTTAGGAAAAGGATGTGTTTTGCATCTTCTTTGACGGAGTTTGGTGGACTGCCACGTTGACCGACATCTGTAGCGGTGAGTACGTCATGGCTTGTCAGGCTAGAAGAAACTGAGTCGATATCATCACGCATATCTAATAAATATTCAATACCAACGTTAGATCAATACTATCGATATTTTAGATCGATCCGCCCAGCCCTAATGCTTACTAATGAGCACTAAAACTCCCATCATCAGCTGAGTGGCCTAGTGGTAGAGTGTCCGCCCTGGGACTAGGAGATCAGGGTTCATTCCTGGTCGGCTCCTACCAAAGACTTAGAAAAATGGTACCCAACGCCTCCCTGCTTGACACTCAACAATAAGGGGTTGGATTGGGGGTTAAACCACGAAATGGTTCCCGAGCACAGCCTCTCCCCCAGGAGATGGGTCGGATGTGGAGAACTAATGTCGCACACACATCAGTGTGTGTGACAACTAATGTGTGTGACTTTGTCTTTGATCTGACCCTGAAAGGGCTGTAGTCTCCATGGAAGCACAATGGAAAACAACTCATGGATGGATAGATGAATGGATAGATGAATGGATGGATGGATGGATGGATGGATGGATGGATGGATGGAATTGATGGGTGGATGGAAAGATGAATGAATGAATACATAGATGAATGATTTGATGGGTGGATGGATGGATGAATGAAATTGATGGATGGATGGATGGATGGATGGAATTGACAGGTGGATGGACAGATGAATGAATGAATGAATAAATAGATGAATGAATTGATAGGTGAATGGATGGATGGATGAAATTGATGGATGAATGAATGGATGAAATTGATGGATGGATGGATGGATGGATGGATGGAATTGATGGATGGATGGATGGAATTGATGGGTGGATGGACAGATGAATGAATGAATAAATGGATGAATGAATAGATGGATGGATGGAATTGATGGATTGATGAGTGAATGAATGGATGAACGAATGAATAGACAGGTGAACAAATGAACGAACTGATGGACTAATGAATGAATGGATGGATGGA